ATGTCCAAAGGGTTAATCGTTCCAAATGCAATACTTCTAGCCAAGCAAAAGTTAAGGCAGTCGCAGAGAATGTGCTTTATGGTGAGAGTTTGTCCACAACTGTAGATTGAGAAGGAAGACTTCTTCAAGCCCCATTGGTGAGTTGCAATTGTATGACCAAGACGAATTCTCGAAAATGTTTTGATCTGCATTTTCTCAACATTAGTTGGATATAAAGGTGGAGTTGATTGAGGGTTAATGGAAGAGTAGTGTTGATGATGGTGTTTTAAATTTTCTTTCGCAATTTTCTCTTTAACTTTTTTTCCAATGTATCTTTGAAGATCAAACTTTTCCTTGACATCATTCATAAATAGAGGAGCAGAAGCAGCATACATTGCCGTGCGATCAGCCTGCTCATTTCCCAATAAGCCGATGTGACTTGGTACCCATAACATTTTATTTCTCCGCCAAGTGTAGTAATTATATTCCTTAATTTGTTGATGGTGCTCTATCTCGAAGTCGAAGGATTCCGAATAGCTTGTAATACAGACAAACTGTCGGTAACAATGACGGTTTTGAGTTTGTTTTTATAAGCAAGGTTCGCAGCGTGAAGGATAGCTCTGGCTTCGGTTGTGAACGTTGAAGTACTTTCGTGAAATATGTGGTTGAGAAGAACTCGTCCTGTAGGATCTACCACGGCACAAGCAGGAGGCAGACCAAAAGATTTTGAGCCGTCTGTGTATAAAAGATTCCAACCAGTACTGTCCAATACTTGGGTTTTTTCAGCTATTAGATTCCTGAAGACGTAACTTGGAGTATCTTCTTTCTTGTGCATAGACAGTGAGATGTCAAAAGAGCAGTCTTTCAAAATCCAGGGAGGTTTAACACCAAAAGAGCGAAACATTTTTAAGGGAATGTTCAATTCCTTTGCGATTCACAAACAATGGTCAATTGCAGATGGTGACTTTGGAATTTTCTTCGCAATAATAACCTTTCTTACGTCATTACCGAGAATGGATATGTTTGAATTAAGAAGCTTAGGGACTATTTTAGCTTTTAACTCATACAGTCTATTTTCTAAAGTTGGGAGACCAGTTTCAATTATAACATTATTTATGGGCGTCGTCCGAAAAGCATAACAACTTGCTCTGACGGCTTGGTGATAGACCGGTTTAAGGATGTTGATATTAGATTTGCAGCTATTGCCATAAATTATCAAAGCATAGTCAATCTTGCTTAACACAAGCATTTTGGTAAGATAAGCAATAGTGTTAATAATCGCATGGCTTCTCCAAGCAACGTACTGTATGAAATTTACCCTTGTTAAAAGAGAGTTTTTTAACCGAAGACATTGTGCTTTCCAACTATAATTGTTGGAAAACGTGAGCCAGAGAACATGGAGCGTCTGCACATTTAGTACTGGTAAGTCGTTAATATGCATCAGTAGTTTTCCTGCATCGCACTTTTGTTTTCGACAAATGTGCATTTTTTTTGATTTTTGTATAGAAATTTTAGCCCCTGACGAGTTTGTCCATGCGGAGATCTCTTGTCCAATAGATTTGAGGAGCGGTGCCTTAAATCCATTTTATTCTTCCTCAAAAACGAAGGCGTGTTGTTCCACCAGTTCCACCAGTACGGAGAATAAACTGTAGAGTTCTTGCTGAGAAAATGATTGCGAAGGTGGAATATAGAGCGAAAGCACTGTAAATTTTATATTTAACATTATTTGTATCGCTACGGCTTGTATATTTGAGCTTAAATTTATGCGTTTGTGAGGTATATTTGATTTTATAAAAACACCTACTCCTTGTTTGGAATATGAATTTTGATCAGCATTCGTGAAGTATCCAGTATATGATTTGGGTGGAATAGGATTAAAAGAGCTTCTACAATGGGTTTCTTGAAGCGATAAAAAGGTTGGATTAAAATCACTTATGAGTGTACGGAGTTCATCAAAATTATTAATAAGTCCCTTAATGTTCCGTTGCAGAATTTTAAAAACTTTATTTAATTGTAATGACATGTAAGCAGGGTGGAGGGAGGGTTAAGTTGACATGTCAGCGTCTTCGTCGAGAAGGTCGCTATAGGAATTTTTCATGAATGATTTATTCTTACCAGAAGAATAATCTGTACTTAGGTAGTTTGGTACATTTGAAGTGCAACTAGTGTTTGCACGTGAATGGTTTGAAATTGAAGGTTGATTAATAGATGAAAGAATGGATTCATTACCACATGTAATTTGTTGAGTAAAGTTGAGAGCTGGAGATTCTGGAGAATTTGGTATATTAGATTTTAGCAAATGTGTTGTTGTTTTAATTTTTTCAATATTTGCAGTTGCTTTGGTTTTTTCAATATTATATTTGGCGGGTGATGTAACTGGTTTCGCAATATAATTTTTGGTTAAGGTTTTGGAACAGGTTTTTCATTGGAAGCAGTTGGAGTTAAAGTCTTACTAGGCTCGATTTGCGAGGCAACAGCAGCGTAGGTATTAGTTTTGCCAATTCCATGGGCTACAGATGGATTTCTTTCCCGGTATGTTCGTCGCGCTTCGCTCATGCTACAGTAATTTTCTGTTTTAATTTTTAGTATTTCACGCATCTGTACAAAACGTGGGCATTGTTTGTCTAACGCTGAGTGTTGATCATTGCAATTTATGCAGAAACTAGGGGTAGAGCTTTCAGCATGTGGAGGATGACCACAGTTAGCACAAGATGCAGCACTAGTGCATCTTTTTGCCGTATGACCCAGGCGTCGGCAATTTTTACACCTCATAGGATTTGGGATGTATAGTTCTATTTTACATTTATACCACGCCACATCAACTGTTCGCGGTAATCGATAGCGATCAAAAGTTAAAATAATCCTTCCTGTAGGAGAGCGTGTTTTTCCGTCATCATTCAGTTTGGTGAATTTATATACTTCAGTCATTCCTTGATTGCCCATTTCGGGAACAATTTCATCTTCCGGCACATGCTTTAAGCAAGGGGTATAAATTACGCCTGGAATCGAGTTAAGTTTCTCATGTAGTTTAGCTGAAATAGCACATAGATTAGCTAAAGATTTAGCCTTTATGAGCTTTTCGGTTGCGCGCGGGTTCCCAGCGAGGACCAGTAAATTCCCATCGCGTAGTATCGAGATGGAGTCGATGTATGTTGTAATGCTATCTAGAGCTTTTTTTATAGCAAAAGGGCTAATTTGGGAAATTGTTATTCTAGCATCGGTTCAAGAAATAACAATATATTTTTTATCAATAGGAGTTATATCACTGATTGGCAACACCGGAGTTCGTATTCCGAGTATTCGAGTTTTTATCTGCCGACCCCGGGGCCATTATGCCTTATTGTTGTCTATTGTTTATTATTTGTAAAATAACCATTCACTTAAAAAGGTTTGGGAAACTACTGAATAAAATGTCAGATGTTTTTAATTATTTTTTTTTTTTTTTAGTGTATTTAAAGGAAAAAACGTACGGTATCCGCCATGAACAGTTTTCGCAATAAACACACAAAAAGTTACATTAATTGTAATAAGTTTGAAAACTTTTAAAAACTTATAACGCAATAAAGAAATTAAATAGAAGAATAAATAGCAAAAATTTTTTCACAAAGAAAAAAATGTGATCACAGCGCTTGAACAAAGTTGCCGTTCTGTGTATTTTGTTTTATTTTGTTTTATTACATTATTTCTATTTTACTGCATGACAGCTTTGAAATTCAACTACTACTTATAACAGCATAACTAGAACTAAAATCAACATAACGGCAATTTTATAAGTAGGACCTAAAAGCTTCTAAAACCTATTACTCTGCAGAAAAGGTTATCATATCGTTTACCATAGCGCGGTAACGTCTGTAATTGTTGTAAACTCAAGGTTAATGGAAACAATACCACTTCGCTATTGAATGATATTAAATTTTGCCACAACATTTTCGTACACGCCTTTCTTAAAAACTCTTGCATATTACCTTGAGCCCACACCTGTGTAATTTTTCCGATATAACCAAACATACTTAATAGTATCTATTGTTTAAAAAAGATTTAAGAAAGATGTGCGTATACGCTTTACATTATATGAAATATAGCATCAAAATTTGGTTTAGTATGTTAGCGTGATCACCAAAATCGTTCAATTTGGAACAATATTTTAAAGTAGTATTTGGAGTTTATGTTATACACAACTCAACGCGATTAAGGAAGAACTTTTAATTATATTTATGGGTAAGTTGGAACAATTTTGCGTAATCATAAGCAAAATCGCTTTTTTTTTGTAGAGGATTGTAGGGATTATATCGATTATTAAACTAATAGCGATAAGTTCAATATGCAAAAGAGCAGAAGCTGAAGGCAAGAGATAAAGCTGCAAGGACGTCAGCACCAGTCCCATTCACTTGATCGTTTCTGAATACTCAAAACTGTTAGAAAAGGGCTCTGAACTGTGAACTTCAACTTTTAGTTGGGTTTCAGAAACAGTTAGTACTGAGAATATACAACTCATGCAGGTACGATAGCACTCACGCATCTTAGAGTTTCTTACTAATTTGATAAATGATTAAAAAAGAGACCCAAAAATATTATTAGATTTTCTATTTATTGCAATCTGAAAACCCAGGCTTGTCACTGTAGTGTATATCCCTCGAAACAAAGTGTTCATAAGTTACCAAAACGGTTTTTCTGCATATGACAATTAGTCTTGCGTAGGGAGAGAGTGAGAAAGAGTTTTAAAAGACAAAATGCACCTAAATTCGGAAGAACACAATTTCAATATGTTATTTCTCGGTTTTTGTTACAATTGTAACATATGATGTTTTCAGCTGACGTAGAAATTAAGTGTAATAAACAATTGTTGCAAATTAAATGAGTGTAAACAACTACATAGTTTAGATTTAGCAGCCCATCTTGGATAGAAAAGACGTTTCATTAATTTCAATTTCATTCGAATCGACATTTGAGAATCGCTAATCTGCATCTTGTCAATAATTTGTATTGCACGTGAAAAAGAAAAGGAAAAATATAATAATTACCTGTTTCCCCATTTGTTCCTGGTTTTCAACAATGTTGTTAGTGAGCGGGCTGGCAGCTGCTAATCGATTCCGTTGACGGGCTGTTTTATCTATTTGTGAGCCATGGCCTTGATTGCGTGGCGTGGTCGTTTTGTTTGTTTGTATGTCGTCCAAAGTCATCTTCGAGGTAAATCAATAATATTTCAATTATGTCTACATGAAGGGATAAACGGAATTATAAAAATTGGTATTATGAATTAACCAAAATATAAATTAAACAAAAAGCTGGCATCTAAAAAACAAAACACTGATTAAATCTTACTAGACATCATCTTTTTATACTATTATTATTTGCTCCAATTACGTTTTCGACATGTTCATAGGTATAAAATAGACCTAATTCTTATTAACAGCACTTTCGAATCTCCTTAAGTTTCGGCCGATTAAGGAATTGAAGATTGATTTTTTCAAAAATTATATAAATGTTGACCGATTGTTGAGATTTCCGTGTAAACTTTAAAACGATGAGCTATTTTGAGAGTTTGACCCCTAGGATTTTTTTAAATCTATTAACAAAGGGTTGTTACGTATCTCTTCATTCTTATTCGCATTGACTCGACCAGCGTAGGACTCTGAGTCAATGTAGCCATATTCCATTCCTCGTTCACGTGTGCAGTTCTGTTGGCAGCTATAGTGCCACAAAAACTTAGACGCTGTAAATATATTATGTGTTGGAAATGAAAGGTAAAGTGTGAACGTTGTTAAACATGAATTCCTTTATATACATTTTTTGCAAATATATTTTCTAAAAATTTAACTATATCTAAGCCATCATAAAATTCACAATGCAGTGATACAAATATCCTCTCAGATATATTTGGGTGAACACTTTAAAATCGCCAAAACGCATTTTGAAACTTGTGCCAAAATGATTGCGATGGCGCCACGTCAGAAACCGAACAGCAACAAGAAAAAAGACGAAAACTCTGACGATAACAATAATCGATGACATCTAAATTCAAAACATTTGAAAAACGCAAGTGTTAAAAGTATCTGTGAAAATAAGGTAAAAGTTATTACAGGAAGATTTAATAGATAATAATAATTTAATGTATCAGGAAGCCAACTCGATGCCAAGTAGAAGTCTCACATGAAATAGCGAAACTACTTGATATCAAGACGAAGTCGTGCGGGAAAGAGTTAGAGCAGGGAGAAAAGAAGACACATTTACCCTACGAAGTGGAATGAAAGCCTTAAAGAAAAGCATGACTAATCCGCAAATCAATTGTGTAACCACCAGTACCTGAAAATTAAACACCCCAATTTGTTGGTATCTCCAAATTCAGGACATGCAGGCTACAATTCGGCACTGCTGCAACAAAAAATTAATGGGATTATGATGACAAAACTGTCACCTTAACAAATACGGTAGAAAGTACGTCTACGTGCTTCCAGAGTTTAAAGGAGCCACTCAAAATTATGCCACTTGAAACGAACGACTGCAATGACTAATATAGAACGGCGTTTCCGAGGACGGGCCGAAAGTTGACACCTCTGCGGAAGAACTTAGTCACGTGGAATTTAAAAAAGTTGTATAGACGTCACCAAAGACGACCTTTTTCGTCGGTTTCGTCCTCCCATAAGAAGCAGCTGTGCTGCGGAAGTCGAGCACGAAGATACGCTGGTGACAACCATATCTGGAATTCGAAAATAACGGTGAGAATAAACAGCCATCGGGTTGATTTTTGTCCCGGTTTAGCTTAGCGGATCTCGCAGATAAGTCTAAATAAAATGAAAAAAAGAAAGGAAAACTTTCAGAAACCCACGATCGTCTGTCATTGGGTACACATTCGTCTAACGTCCAGCGTTCGTTTAGCGGTCGTCCAACATCACGTATGTATGTCCATTTGTCACGTTGAAAGTACTGTCTTCCATGGTACAGCTATTTTTAGCTTTCTTAACTTCGGCTTGCCCTAGCTTAGCAATACAGTTGGAATCTTGTCTACCGTATTGGAAAACTAAAATAATAATAATTTTTGATATTATAATAACATATAAACGCAAGTAAGAACACCCAGCGCTAGTTTTTCTCCTTCTACTCTTCAAGTTCTTTTATTTGATATTCATATCGCTGGGATTATTAGGTAAAAATTAAACAACCAGGTGACTACCGTATTGTTTGATATGATAAATAAGGATAAAACCTCAAAAAAGTGAAACAAATAAAATTCAATCACTTATAACTTTGTGTGGGAATGGCCGATTTATTCTATGTTTGCACATAAAGGGTAGAGTGCTTCGTAAAGTAGATGGGACAAATTCCACTCTTCTATCTATTATAATGTGAGTAATGAGCAACAATCTACAAATTTTTGTTTAGAAAAACCGAGTTTCGCTCAGTTTACGCTTCACTGCGGGTTTGTGCTCTAACTAATTTGGCCTGCTTACAATACTAATCTGCGCGCAAAAACTTGCAACGCTTCTACCAAATTTGAAATCGATGTCTTCATTTTTGCGGCCAGGAGAGTGCCAACGGCATGAACAGACGGACAGACACGGCTTAATCAATTCAGAATTCTACGCTGATCAAAAATATATATACTTTATAGTTTTTGAAGATTACTTTTGAGTGTTGTTTACATTATGAAAACAAACAAAACGAGTACGCCCCCATCCGTCAGTGGTCGGTGTAAAAAAACCAATTGGATTACATACATTAAAGTCTTGACATAAGTTTCTGTCGCTTTCCACCAAAAGATACGCATTTGTTATCAAAGACCGATACATTACGTTTTAACCAACGTAGTGCCCATCACTGGCCACTACTTTTCCCATTTTTCTAGCACAACAGATGGCGCACTGCACCCTATATATCCCTTGATAATATTGAAAAGCCTTCGGACACGGACACGGAATCGAGAAAACCATTCTCGTGTCCTTCGTTCACTCACAGCACTCTCGCCGTTCACTTTACAAATTTTTTTTTCTGGAGCGTTTCTTTCCTTTTTATAGTAAAAACGCTTCACATAGCGTATTTGTTTAGATGTTTCACTCATTTTCCCATCAATATAACCTACTACATGAGCAAGGCATTAGAACCCTAGCTTCACAAAAATTATAAGCTGAAATATCATCTTTTAAGCAGTTCGTTTAAGGCAATCAGGCGAGTGTTGCTCGATATTTAGGAATCAACTCCCTCCCGCGGAAATATCGCGGAAAATTTTCAATGTGATCTATTATATAACACAAGATATTTCTGTAGCAACATTTAAGCAAGAAAATTATCATGTCGCACAAGAGGAAAGGGAGCAAGAGAAAGAACAATTTTACTCATCTAGGTGTAGGAGAATTACTATCAATGCTCTGTGTATGTGTCTTTGTACTGTGTGGAATATTACACACCATCTCTGAGGTATTGCACTAGACGCGTTGGGAATTATTTTAAATGGCTCCATCCTACTTTTCCTCTTCCCATCGTAGATTACCAAACTATAATATAAAAGCTTTACATTCTTACAAAGCCGACCTAATTAAACCGTCGAAATAATTACGTTGAAAGTAGTGTATTGAATATAAGCATTTGAATTAAATATATTAGGAATGCATACAAACTACATATGTGAGTTCAAAGCATATCGGATTCTAACGCTGTAGAGCACTCGGTTCGGCTGCTTACGGATACTAACTTAATTTTTGGTTAATTGACATTTTGGGCAAATTGGAATAATGAGAAATGGGTGTAAATTGAAAATAATTACAAACAAATTTTTTTTTTAATAACAATAATAGGAAAACTAAGGATAGTAGAAATAAGGATGTGAAGATAAATTTGAAAATAATTAACTATCAAAGCCACCAGCAAACTCTTTAAAGGCCCTAACAGAACTCGGTTAAATAATTAGAATTAAGATATAGTGGCAAGACCACTCCATCCAGATTTTCTAATAAGGGTAAAATATTCTCGTGTACACCGTAATAAATGAGAATCCAAATACGTTCCAATAAAACTTAAGCGAATTTAAATTCGGCTTTGCAGAACTGTATTTATGAAAATTTTAAAATTTAGTGTGTTAGCAGCCATTTATAATAACTGCTAACGCGCCTAGTGCAATACCTCTTGGGTGGTTTGGAAAATTGCACGCATTTGCCTAATAAATACGGAAAGTAGCTACAGTTTTCCTTTATAGCGCACAACGTAGATAATACACATATATCATATTTTTCTGATGATATTCAACTACGCTTGCTTGAAACAGAAAATCTAGAGAAATTAGAAGGTTCACATATTACTATTATGCATGTATGTATATATAAATAAAAAATAAACATAAAAGATTTCTATATTATCCAAAAAATATTTTTCTCAGTAAATATTGTCATATATATATATCTTTGCTTTTAAAAGCACATGCATCTGCTGCCTTTGGTCGCTTTCTCATAAATTTCATAGAGTACCGTTTATATATTTTCTCTCTTCTTCTGTATCAATTGTTACAGCAATAAATGCCTTTATATACATTACTTTGTACACAACGTATGCATAGGTACATTTGCAATGAGACCGAAATATATATCAATTTTTTCATACTGTTCCAGAACATTGTTTTTGCACATTGTTTTTGATCATTATTTCTGTTTAGATTATAGAATGCTAAATGTTCAAAGTATACAAAAAGTATACAATCAGCTACATTACAGAGTTATGCTGGCGTGAAACAAAACGTGAGCCAATTGTTGTATATATATCTATATCCATATATATACATATATAAATAAAATGTGAACTTGAAACAGAAAATGCAGGCAAACTGTAATGTATCGTCTTTTTCTGGTGATTACACAAAATTAGTTATGGTTGTATGAAACAGGTAAAGTATTAAAATGATGAAGTTCACATATTATTTACATATATATATATATACATGAATATACGTATATATAAACAGAAAATAAAAGTAAAGAATTCTATATTATCAAAACTAAGTTTCATAAAAATTTTGCTATTATTTCTCGAACATAATAGAGTGCAGCGCATTTATTTTCTCTCTTCTCATATTTCTTTGCTTTTAAAATCAAAGTATGGTGTCTGTTATCCATAGTCGCTTTCCCACGAACTTCATAGTACAATGTATGTATTTTCTCATTTCGTCTGTATCAATTTGATTATTGTTAGAACAATAAATGCCTATATTAACATTTTTTTATGCACAAAC